AAAAAAAAAAAAAAACGGTGTTCCGCTGCCAGGATTTGAACGAACCTGGAATTTCTTATTCACAGAAACTTAAACATTGTGCTGCAGTGGTTTTCTTGTTATCATTAATTTGATTATATAAAAAGATTATCAGACAAATATTGGACAAAAAGAGGTTTCCCACCTCCAGAATTCAAACCTAAGTTTTTAATTTGGAAAAATTTCTTGTCTACTATTGAACAATAACATTTAATTAAATAGAATCAATTATCAGACAAAGGAGTTTAGCTATAGTAATTCGTTTATTATATAAAATAAATAATCAGACATTAGTAAAAGAAAAAATTGAGTTTTCCACTGCCAAGTTTCAAACATGGAATTTCTAAATTTGCAGAAATTTTAACTAGTGCGTTTCAGCAGATTTCTTGTTAATTCGTCGACAATATTTGTTTATTTGGAATAAATTATCAGACATCGGCAAAACAAAAAAGGAGTTTTCCACTACCAATATTCAAATCTGGAGTTCCTAAATTGGCAAAAACTTAGCCATTGTGCTACAGCTAATTTCCTGTTCACCCTTGAAGATATATTTATTTTTTTTATCTTAAATTATACAATAAAAAATAATTTTCTCATATTCTTTAATTTACCTTTATTTGCATATTATGCGATTCAAATTTAAAATTTTTCTTTTCACTAAAAAAAATTATCATTGTATTACTTAAGCTATATTAGTGAATAATATTAAGTTATATACACTAAATTATTAAGGAAAATTTAAACTGATATTAATTATTTTTTATAGTTAAATTAAACAGAGTCTTAAGTCTTAACCATTCTACTAGAGTTGCATGTTAATTAGTGATGAACAATTAACCTTAAATTTTATTAAAAATAATATCGAACAACAATAAATTAAAGGCAAAAACTTCCCGATATATCATGACTCAAACCTAGAATTTTTAAATTCGCAAAAAAAAAAGAGGGGGGGGGGGGGGTTGCAAAATATTAAACAACAATAAAATTTAAGAGAAAAGCGATTTTCCACTGTCATGATTAAAACCGATGTCTCAATTTGATCGGATGGAAATACTTTACCATCCCCAATCAAATACCCTGATCTTATTTTGAGACCAAAGAATTAAATGGTTAGTGATAATATTTTTTACAAGAAAAGTAAGGAAGGTTAAAGAAATGAGAAAAAAAAATTTATTGTATAATTAAAAATAAAGAAAATATTAAATTTGAGAAACAATATTTTTTACAAAAACTTTTATTAAGAAGAGAGATTATTAACTTTTCAGGTTTAAGGGCTAAGTATTGAAGTTGAATTTAAAGAAAATTTAATTTTTTAAATGCATATAATTAATTTGGGAACTGACTCTTAAAAAAGTTTTAAAAAAATTAATTATAAGACACATGGCAGCTAACTTAAAAATATTTTAATAATCCAAACTGACAAAAAAAAAAAACTATTAAATTAGATCTACAAGAATCGTCTCTAGATTTAATAATTTACAAATTAATTAAAACGACTCAAAAACTATGCAGTTACTAGCTAGTTCATTTTATTGAGATGAACTAGAAAGGAGACAAGGCAGATGCCAAGGGAACCGCTAAGAAAAACAAGCCCTAACAAATAACTGGCAAAACCTACAATCTGGAACGAGTCATAGAGAATGTTTGATCTTTTGTGCCTGTACCGGCCATCATATCCGGATGTATAATTCCACCGATGTTCGAGAAACCGAGATGTGTCGCTCATCAATATTCTCTCCTTCTTCTTCACTTCCTCTATTCTCTCCCTTAGGATGCTCAGGCTTGCATCCACAATATCTGCTGACTTTCCTACATAAGTACATATATATATCAACAAAAAGAGATCAATATTTACTCATTTTATTTTCTTGATATTCCACTTCTGTCTTGAGCTAGAACCATATATATAGACGTACCTTCGTCGCCTTTGAAGCTTTGAGATCTTAACTTGGGGTACCTGGTGAGGAGATTGCGCCTGTTAAAAAGAGGACTCAAGCTGGAAAAAGATGGGATAGAGGAAGCCATATTTGTATCTGTGAGTTTATGGAGTGTGTAATTTGCAGTATTACTCCTACTTTCTCCCTAGGGTTTTTATAAGCAAAGAGGTAGAAGCTCCCCTTTTCTACTGCTTCTAAGTTCTATCATTGTGGGCACGCAGGATATAGTGTCACCTGTAGTCTCATGACTTAATAAATTTACTTATAATAGTACTAGTTAACCTTCTCAAAATCCCAGAAGAAGGATTAATTTTCATAAAATAATGGTTTTCTAGTGTGCTATGCTGCTAGCTGCCAATGGTAGATATAATTAGTGTCAAACCATATTTGTTTGGTTCTTTATGTGAAGAGAAGAGGTGGCGGCAAGAGAATGGATAAGTATAGATGCATGTAAAGGAGTAGTCTAATTAATACTATACTATTATCTTTATGTATTAAATAATAAGGACTTGTCTTCTTTCTTCAAATTTCGCATGCCACCTCTATAATTGCCAAGCTCTTTTTAGGGTTCTTGCTATGAGCATAACTCCTTACCATGTGGTTAAAGGTTAGAAGACAACTTTCTCTTAATTTGGACCCCAAAAGGGAGAAAAAAAAAAAAAGGAAAACTTATCTCTTTATCATTGCAAGTGTTGAAGAAGGCGTGTGTGAATAAGTAAAAAATTGAGAATTAAGTAAGAAATTTCATGTTTAAATTTTAAATAAAAATTGCAATTTGAAAAATTATAAAGCTTATTGTTGCATA